GAATCAGTAGTCGAAAAAGATCGATTTTATTTTTATACTGTAAATAAACCTAACGTATTATCCTTACTTCTTCATTTCAATAAGTTTTTCTGCACTTTTCGGCACAGAATAATTAATTTCCGAGAGGCAACGCTCTTAATATTTATACACACACCATCGATTATACGACTGTATTAAATAACACGCACTCAAAACTTTTTCAATTTGCTTTTTCGAGACAACAATACTGTGTGATTAATACTAAGTGATTTAAAAGGTTTGAAGTCATGCTTAATTGTATTTCGTTCACGCAATAACTTCAAGTTTCAAAGAGAATATGTACAAAGGGATTGTTCCCTGGTTGTCAGTCTTTCTCAGCAAAATTCRATATGCATAGAACAGGTCTTCATTTTAAACGAYCAATTTCWTAGCTAACTTGTCTAAATGTCAGGTCTCTAATTGTCTTATATTTGCATAGCCATGACTTAGAATTGTCAGCGCATTATTTCGGGTTCAATAGAGGACGGAGAACGTAACAATGGTTCAAGCCAGCGARCACGATTTAATAAAATTATTWATACTCTAAAACGATCGATTTTATTCTATATTTTTTCGACACGAAAGGTATTATCTTTCCTATTTTATTTCGACAAGTTTTCGACACTTTTTTGCACAGGATMATGCTTTTAAATCCTTAAAGAGCTAACGCCCTTTATATACTACATATTAAACATGTAACATAAATAATCGCTACAATGCTCGATATCTTGATATAAATCGAGTCGTTTTTAGAGAAATTTAGCAATTTTGAAGTCAAGTTCTTGAAGATCGTTCGCTCATAATAATCACATTAATTTTCACGAGCATGAATAAGGATAAGCTAATCTCTGCATTGATTTGTATCTTAAGAAACCGCTTGTATTTAGTAATATGGTACTAAAAATGTATGTTCACAAGAAAGAGCAGATTAATGTCCTTTAAACCCTAATTTTAATTTATGTTATCGAGATTTTTTTCTGTTTATTTGTGACATGTTGCGGTTAAACTATTTTTCTCACGACATTCTTATGGTATGTGCAGCCCAATATTTTAATTGTACGTGGTTACTTAGGCAGTCTCAAGTCATCCGATGATTATTAGATTTAGTCGAGTGATTCATAATAGATTGAAGATAAGTGCCTTTCACATCTTTGCTGAATGGCTTACTCAATGTGCCGTAACAGCGTCCCAGCAACCACACCGTTATCGTGAAGTATTATGGGTATTAAACGCATAAAAAAACAAGTAATTTTACTTTAAATCAGTCGAGTATTTTTTTGTACTGCTGACAGCCATGAAGCTCTTGCTGACTTTTCTCGTGATCTTTGGTCTCGTTGCCTACATCGGAGCTGCTCCAGTTGAAGACGAACCTGAAGCTCCCGAGCTATCTGAAGCCGATGCCCCAGAAAAAGATGATTCCACAGAAAAACAAGATGCTCCAAGTAAGCCGTACCGCATGCACGATTTCTTAATACAACTATAAAATAGCACCATTCACTTTATACAGTTGTACGGTTCAAGTGCGATCACTCTAAAGAAATACATAAAATAGATATTACACTAAAAACCTTAGTGCGATCTAAGACCCCTCTAATTGCATTGTTTTCTTTTGTGTCGATTTGACTATCACACTTTCAATTGCCGCTGTGACGCYTGACACAATAATTTCTGATTCTCTATGAACTGATTCTATTGCCTCAAGTCAATAAACTCGTAAAATAGATGTTAAATTAATACACTTCATGCACTATTTAATTGAAACCCCCGCCCCCGACCCCAGGGATATATAMCGGAGAATTTTACGTTTGAGTGGTGTTTGATGGAATATATAAGACATTTTCCCCGGTTGTCGGGGGCACACTCACTGTTAAAACACCCGCTACTGTGCTCCCGCTATTTTGGTCTAAAAGTAAATAACAAAAGAAACACCTTTCCGATCCAACTCAAACAAATAGGCTTGATTTGTACTTTTTTTGCACTTGGGTGAGGGCCATGTTTCTGAAGGCGCACCTCGGAGACCAATACATGAGAGGTGATACATCATAGTATCGCATTCTTTATTGTCATAGCACAGCAGCCTGATCTTGGTTGATTATGAATACCATTGCTTTCTGGGTATTTTTCGGGGTGGCCGACCTCTATTTTCCAGGCTCAAACGAGCATTAAAATCTCCGGTCTTTGCCCCTCTTCGAAAACAATTCATCCAATACCGAGCCCGCGGGGCAATTTTGTTGTTAAAAGCACGTTAAAAACGCGTCACTGCTCCGCTAGTCCCGGGGGTCGAGTCCACTGCGATACTCTAACGTTTACGATATTCGTTTCAGATCCACAAGAAACTGTTGCAAAACGTGTTGCTTTGAGAAAGGACATCTTGAGTGCTTTCAGTTGTCGATACTTGAAAATCAAGGGTTTCTTGACCAAAGACATAAAGTTGAAAAACCTTTGCCTCACGACTTTCCGTAAGTAGCGTTTCTTTCTCTTTCACGTTCTTTCTGTCTTTTCAGTTATGCGGAACTGATCATTTTGATGAACTTAAATAAAATTTTAAGTGGCTCTCCCTTTTTCATAGACTACATTTCTGGTGCAGATTTACATCTTCTCGAAGCAGTTCCATTTCTTAATAGTGTTAATTTACTCTTATAAAATTAAGGCAAGCATTGATTGGCCCTCATAGCCTGCTATCAGTATTGCATAATAACCCATCCTGTTCATTTACTGTGAAAGCTTACGTTCTTATCCTTTTAATAGATTGCAATGACGTTCTTTCAAAACAATGCTGCAAAATCGTCAAGGGRAGAAACGATTGTGGAAAAGACAACAAACTTAGTCTGACKTACTGTCGTTTTACTTGCAACAAATGTGGAGCCGGAGGTGAGTAGAAAAGTTTGAAATTGTTACTTTGATTGAAACGCCCTAATCTAATTTTTGATTAATTGAAATATTCCAAATGACGTTATTTACTTTTATTTATACAAAATAACTGAGAATTTGTTCAGCTTTATTTTTTGAAACCCTCTGCCCCCTTATGTTTTTTGAACCCCTCAAGACAACTAACAGTTCCCTGCCCCTCATTTGTGAAAATTTCCATTTACTGTGCATGAGGGTGTCAGTGGGGGTCCCCAAAAGTCAGATAACTACTATATTTTTTACCAAAAGTCAGTTAACTACTATATTTTTTACCAAAAGTCAGTTAACTACTATATTTTTTACCAAAAGTCAGTTAACTACTATAT